GAATTTACCTTAACCTGCAGACTCAGGTGAATAAGTCCCTAATGTGAGTCTGATATTAAACCAAGATCTAAACACATAGCTGGTGGTCCAGGATCATAGTACACACACACACACACACACACACACACACACACACACAAACACATTAGATTTTTGTAGGTCAGGTTGGGTAATCACTGGGACTGCTTAAAAAAACACTGTTATTGATTCTGACTTGGAAAGCCTTTTGGGATAAGCCAGAGCCATATACAGTGCATTTGGAAAGTATTCAGACCCCTTGACTTCTAAAATGGATTAAAGTGTTTTCCCCCCTCATCAATCTACACACAATACCCCATAATGACCAAGCAAAAACTGGTTTTTAGAATTTTTTCCAAATGTGTTCAAAATAAATACATAAGTATTCAGACCCATCCAGAAGGCGAGGTCAGTACAGGTGCATCAAAGCTGGGCCCGAGAGACTGAAAAACAGCTTCTATCTCAAGGCCATCAGACTGTTAAACAGCTACAGTGGGGAAAAAAAGTATTTAGTCAGCCACCAATTGTGCAAGTTCTCCCACTTAAAAAGATGAGAGAGGCCTGTAATTTTCATCATAGGTACACGTCAACTATGACAGACAAATTGAGAGAAAAAAATCCAGAAAATCACATTGTAGGATTTTTAATGAATTTATTTGCAAATTATGGTGGAAAATAAGTATTTGGTCACCTACAAACAAGCAAGATTTCTGGCTCTCACAGACCTGTAACTTCTTCTTTAAGAGGCTCCTCTGTCCTCCACTCGTTACCTGTATTAATGGCACCTGTTTGAACTTGTTATCAGTATAAAAGACACCTGTCCACAACCTCAAACAGTCACACTCCAAACTCCACTATGGCCAAGACCAAAGAGCTGTCAAAGGACACCAGAAACAAAATTGTAGACCTGCACCAGGCTGGGAAGACTGAATATGCAATAGGTAAGCAGCTTGGTTTGAAGAAATCAACTGTGGGAGCAATTATTAGGAAATGGAAGACATACAAGACCACTGATAATCTCCCTCGATCTGGGGCTCCACGCAAGATCTCACCCCGTGGGGTCAAAATGATCACAAGAAAATCCCAGAACCACACGGGGGGACCTAGTGAATGACCTGCAGAGAGCTGGGACCAAAGTAACAAAGCCTACCATCGGTAACACACTACGCCGCCAGGGACTCAAATCCTGTAGTGCCAGACGTGTCCCCCTGCTTAAGCCAGTACATGTCCAGGCCCGTCTGAAGTTTGCTAGAGTGCATTTGGATGATCCAGAAGAGGATTGGGAGAATGTCATATGGTCAGATGAAACCAAAATATAACTTTTTGGTAAAAACTCAACTCGTCGTGTTTGGAGGACAAATAATGCTGAGTTGCATCCAAAGAACACCATACCTACTGTGAAGCATGGGGGTGGAAACATCATGCTTTGGGGCTGTTTTTCTGCAAAGGGACCAGGACGACTGATCCGTGTAAAGGAAAGAATGAATGGGGCCATGTATCGTGAGATTTTGAGTGAAAACCTCCTTCCATCAGCAAGGGCATTGAAGATTAAACGTGGCTGGGTCTTTCAGCATGACAATGATCCCAAACACACCGCCCGGGCAACGAAGGAGTGGCTTCGTAAGAAGCATTTCAAGGTCCTGGAGTGGCCTAGCCAGTCTCCAGATCTCAACCCCATAGAAAATCTTTGGAGGGAGTTGAAAGTCCGTGTTGCCCAGCGACAGCCCCAAAACATCACTGCTCTAGAGGAGATCTGCATGGAGGAATGGGCCAAAATACCAGCAACAGTGTGTGAAAACCTTGTGAAGACTTACAGAAAATGTTTGACCTGTGTCATTGCCAACAAAGGGTATATAACAAAGTATTGAGAAACTTTTGTTATTGACCAAATACTTATTTTCCACCATCATTTGCAAATAAATTCATTAAAAATCCTACAATGTGATTTTCTGGATTTTTTTTTCTCATTTTGTCTGTCATAGTTGACGTGTACCTATGATGAAAATTACAGGCCTCTCTCATCTTTTTAAGTGGGAGAACTTGCACAATTGGTGGCTGACTAAATACTTTTTTCTTGGGGGGGGGGGGGCCCTAACTAAACAGGAAAACAGGAAAACGGTCATCCAGAGGCAGCGCTCCTAGTGGCCGGGGACTTTAATGCAGGGAAACTTAAATCCGTTCTACCTAATTTCTACCAGCATGTTAAATGTGCAACCAGAGGAAAAAAACCTCTAGACCACCTTTACTCCACACACAGAGACACGTACAAAGCTCTCCCTCGCCCTCCATTTGGCAAATCTGACCATAACTCTATCCTCCTGATTCCTGCTTATCAGCAAAAACTAAAGCAGGAAGCACCAGTGACTCGGTTAATAAAAAAGTGGTCAGATGACGCAGATGCTAAGCTACAGGACTGTTTTGCTAGCACAGACTGGAACATGTTCCGGAATTCTTCAGATAGCATTGAGGAGTACACCACATCAGTCACTGGCTTCATCAATAAGTGCATCGATGACGTCGTCCCCACAGTGACCGTACGTACACACCCCAACCAGAAGCCATGGATTACAGGCAAAATCCGCACTGAGCTAAAGGGTAGAGCTGCCGCTTTCAAGGAACGGGACTCTAACCCGGACACTTATAAGAAATCCCGCTATGCCCTCCGACGAACCATCAAACAGGCAAAGAGTAAATACAGGACTAAGATTGAATTGTACTACACTGGCTCTGACGCTCGTCGGATGTGGCAGGGCTTGAAAACTATTACAGACTACAAAAGGAAGCACAGCCGCGAGCTACCCAGTGACACAAGCCTACTAGACGAGCTAAACCACTTCTATGCTCACTTCGAGGCAAGCAACACTGAAGCATGCATGAGAGCACCAGCTGTTCCGGATGACTATGTGATCACGCTCTCCGTAGCCGATGTGAGTAAGACTTTTAAGCAGGTCAACATTCACAAGGCCGCAGTGCCAGACGGATTACCAGGACGTGTACTCCGAGCATGTGCTGACCAACTGGCAAGTGTCGTCACTGACATTTTCAACATGTCCCTGACTGAGTCTGTAATACCAACATGTTTCAAGCAGACCACCATAATCCCCGTGCCCAAGGACACTAAGATAACCTGCCTAAATGTGGTCCTCTGTAGCTCAGCTGGTAGAGCACGGCGCTTGAAACGCCAGGGTAGTGGGCTCGATCCCCGGGACCACCCATACACAAAAATGTATGCACGCATGACTGTAAGTCGCTTTACATAAAAGCGTTTGCTAAATGGCATATTATTATTATTAAATGACTACCGACCCGTAGCACTGAAATCTGTAGCCATGAAGTGCTTTGAAAGGCTGGTCATGGCTCACATCAACACCATTGTCCCAGAAACCCTAGACCCACTCCAATTTGCATACCGCCCCAACAGATCCACAGATGATGCAATCTCTATTGCACTCCACACTGCCCTTTCCCACCTGGACAAGAGGAACACCTACGTGAGAATGCTATTCATTGACTACAGCTCAGAGTTCAACACCATAGTGCCCTCAAAGCTCATCACTAAGCTAAGGATCCTGGGACTAAACACCTCCCTCTGCAACTGGATCCTGGACTTCCTGACGGGCTGCCCCAAGGTGGTAAGGGTAGGTAACAACACATCTGCCACGCTGATCCTCAACACGATGGCCCCTCAGGGGTGCGTGCTCAGTTCCCTCCTGTACTCCCTGTTCACCCATGACTGCATGGCCAGGCACGACTCCAACACCATCATTAAGTTTGCTGACGACACAACAGTGGAAGGCCTGATCACCGACAACGATGAGACAGCCTATAGGGAGGAGGTCAGAGACCTGGCCGTGTGGTGCCAGGATAACAACCTCTCCCTCAACGTGACCAAGACAAAGGAGATGATTGTGGACTACAGGAAAAAAAAGAGGACTGAGCACGCCCCCATTCTCATCGACGGGCTGTAGTGGAACAGGTTGAGAGCTTTAAGTTCCTTGGTGTCCACATCACCAATGAACTATCATGGTCCAAACACACCAAGACAGTCGTGAAGGGGGGTACGACAAAGCCTATTCCCCCTCAGGAGACTGAAAATATTTGGCATGGGTCCTCAGATCCTCAAAAAGTTCTACAGCTGCACCATCGAGAGCATCCTGACTGGTTGCATCACCGCCTGGTATGGCAACTGCTCGGCCTCCGACCGCAAGGCACTACAGAGGATAGTGCGTACGGCCCAGTACATCACTGGGGCCAAGCTTCCTGCCATCCAGGACCTCTATACCAGGCGGTGTCAGAGGAAGGCCCTCAAAATTGTCAAAGACTCCAGCCACCCTAGTCATAGACTGTTCTCTCTGCTACCGCATGGCAAGCGGTACCGGAGGCTTCTCATCAGCTTCTACCCCCAAGCCATAAGACTCCTGAACAGCTAATCATGGCTACCCGGACTAATTTGCATATGAAACACCACTTTGGTTCTTGAATACTAGGAGTAGCCCTCAAATTCAACCCTGCAGAGACTTGACCGCAAGGCATACTGAAAATGAAAAAAGAAGCTATTTTACAGGGTTATCATACTAATTCTAGGCCTACTTAGACATCGAATTGAAAATGAATATTGAATAAACGGTTTAGAGCATTGAATTTGCAGTGGTTTGCTTTAAAAGCACAGGGGGTGAGCGAGCGTTTGAGTTCTCTCCCACTGCGTTGCAGCTGCACACCACACCGCTCCCACCACTCCCCTCTCGCCCCTGGCAAGAAACGAGACACTACTAGCCTATTACTCCTCCCCTCCCTCGCAAAGTTGCAGCATTCTCCGTTTCTCCCACTTTTACCATGTTCTGTAACCAGCCTAAAGTTTTCCTCATCATCCATGACGCTGGCCGTTGATGGGACGAAGAGGTCGCTGGACTGCCTCTAAAGCACAATTGGGACTTCAATGCCTGTGAATCTTTTTAAATCTCTTGATTTTGGTTAGATTAAATATGCAATGTCCGCGGGTGAAGCGGGTTCTTTTTCTGCTACATTCTGTTTTGTTTTTGGCAGCAAGCCATGTCGAGTTCTCTCTGCCTGGCAGCCTCCTCTCTCCATATGCAGAACCAGGTCAGTATGTCACAGTTGTTACAACTAGGCTATAATAACTGCAACAATGTTGCGATTTTACTGTCGCAATTTCACTTGCATGCATAATTCAATGCAACAGCACAAAACGTAGTTTATAGCCATTGCAAGTTTAAAGCATGAATTAGCGCATATTTTTTGCCAAGTGGCAGTCTGTTTTTTATCAATTATCTTTATTAATTGAATTCTCGTTAAATTACCGTGTAGGCTATTGATAATTCCACTGTAGTTCATTTTCCTTTTTATCCTCAGGTCGCTTTCTCCAGTCTCAGTCAGATGTGTCCGTGGTCCATCCAGTCAAAGTTTTCAGAGATGGACAGTTTCTCTCCCACTCTCTGGCACACCGCTTTGAGCACGGGCGGCATAAGCGAGACTTGGGGCCTTTGGAGGGACGCGTTTATTATAAGGTGAACTATAAGGGTCGCGATTTGGTTTTCAATCTAACAGTCAACAACTATTTGGTGTCGAACGATTATATTCTAGAGAGACGAAATGGGAGTGTGAACCGGACTGAGCACCATACCACAGGAGAGAACGCGTGCCACCTGATCGGCACCGTGACGGATTCTACTAATGCGCGAGGGACAGCCGCAATCAGCACATGTGAAAGCTTGGTAAGGAGTCAGGATGATGACCATATTTGGAATTTAACTCATGCATATGCAGAAATCCTTGTCATCGCTCATTCTGTACTCTGATTTTAACACAAAGTTAGGTAGTTAAAATACACACTGCAATCCTTCTCCATCTTTATACATTTTGGAGTTATTTGAGTCAATGATCAAGGCTTCACAATAAGACTTCACTATAATGCTTCACTATAAGGCAAATGCACCACATTGAGAAGCAGGTACAGGTAACTGAAGTAGGATGGAAATATTGATTTGCTCCATTGATTTAGCTTCATTGATTTAGCTCAGATAGGACATTTAGTTTGTGTAATTTCTTGCCCTATTTCCAATTCACCTAGAAGCCACAGCCTCCCTAAAGTCAGGAGAACTTTCTTTGAAATGTACAGGAGAGAGGCATCAGAACAGCAGCAAAATATACAGAAGATAAGCATTAGAGGAATTGGTATGTAGACTGTTTGCAGAAATACTTTTTGCTCCCTGGCCCCCAAATAATAATAATATGCCATTTAGCAGACGCTTTTATCCAAAGTGACTTACAGTCATGTGTGCATACATTTTTACGTATGGGTGGTCCCGGGGATCGAACCCACTACCCTGGCGTTACAAGCGCCATGCTCTACAAATTGAGCTACAGAGGACCACAATGACTGTGGCTGCATGCCGCCTCCTCTCAGCCTATACTGGGAGACTCTATGTCTCTCTTGCACGATCTTTCCCTCTCTCCCCTCTCAACCTACTTCTACCACTCTCTGTCTCTCTCTCTCAGCTCTCGCTCTTATTCACTCTTTCTTTCTTTCTTTCTTTCTTTCTTTCTTTCTTTCTTTCTTTCTTTCTTTCTTTCTTTCTTTCTTTCTCTTCTCTCTCTCTCTCTCTCTCCTCTCTCTCTCTCTCATCGTCTCTCTTCTCTCTCTCTCTCTCCTTCTCTCTCTCTCATCTCTCTCTCTCCTCTCTCATCTCTCTCTCCTCTCTCTCTCGCCATCTCCTCTCTCGGTGGGGTCTCTCTCTCTCTCTCTCTTTCTGTACAGTGTTATGTTTCTCCTTGGTTGACCACAGAGAGTAAGTTTGAGAATGTGGCTTCTACGGCTACTGTTTATAAAGAGACTGAAATAAAAATTGAGACGGCTGTATTTTTAGAATTCTTGTGTGTTTCTTATAAGAAACCTACTATTATCTACAAAGGAAATGAATACTTCAGTTTTCATCACAATGACAGCTTTGCACTCTGTCGGCTGCTGAACAGAAAACAGATGGACAGCGGAGAGAGAGAGAAAGGGAAACAGCTGGACAGCAGAGAAAGAGACAAAGGAAAACACCTGGACAGCAGAGAGAGATAAAAAGGGAAACAGCTGGACAGCATAAAGAGATACAAAGGGAAACAGCTGGACAGCAGAGAAAGAGACAAAGGAAAACAGCTGGACAGCAGAGAAAGAGACAAAGGAAAACAGCTGGACAGCAGAGAGACACAAAGGAAAACAGCTGGACAGCAGAGAGAGACAAAGGAACACAGATGGACAGCAGAGAGAGACAAAGGAAAACAGCTGGACAGGTGACAGAGAGACAAAGGAAAACAGCTGGACAGCAGAGAGAGACAAATGAAAACAGCTGGACAGCAGAGAGAGACAAAGGAAAACAACTGGGCAGCAGAGAGAGACAAAGGAAAACAGCTGGACAGGTGACAGAGAGACAAAGGAAAACAGCTGGACAGCAGAGAGAGACAAAGGAAAACAGCTGGACAACAGAGAGAGACAAAGGAACACAGATGGACAGCAGAGAGAGAGACACAGGAAAACATGTGGAAAGCATAAAGAGAGACAAAGGAAAACACCTGGACAGCAGAGAGAGACAAAGGAAAACAACTGGGCAGCAGAGAGAGACAAAGGAAAACAGCTGGACAGGTTGACAGAGAGACAAAGGAAAAACAGCTGGACAGCAGAGAGAGACAAAGGGAAAACAGCTGGACAGCAGAGAGAGACAAAGGAACACAGATGGACAGCAGAGAGAGAGACACAGGAAAACATGTGGAAAGCATAAAGAGAGACAAAGGAAAACACCTGGACAGCAGAGAGAGACAAAGGAAAACAACTGGGCAGCAGAGAGAGACAAAGGAAAACAGCTGGACAGGTGACAGAGAGACAAAGGAAAACAGCTGGACAGCAGAGAGAGACAAAGGAAAACAGCTGGACAGCAGAGAGAGACAAAGGAACACAGATGGACAGCAGAGAGAGAGACACAGGAAAACATGTGGAAAGCATAAAGAGAGACAAAGGAAAACACCTGGACAGCAGAGAGAGAGAAAAAGGAAAACAGCTGGACAGGTGACAGAGAGACAAAGGAAAACAGCTGGACAGCAGAGAGAGACAAAGGAAAACAGCTGGACAGCAGAGAGAGACAAAGGAACACAGATGGACAGCAGAGAGAGAGACACAGGAAAACATGTGGAAAGCATAAAGAGAGACAAAGGAAAACACCTGGACAGCAGAGAGAGACAAAGGAAAACAACTGGGCAGCAGAGAGAGAGAAAAAGGAAAACAGCTGGAGAGCAGAGAGAGAGACATAGGAAAACAGCTTGACAGCAGAGAGAGAGACAAAGGAAAACAGCTGGACATCAGAGAGCGAGACAAAGGAAAACAGCTGTACAACAGAGAGAGAGAGAGACAAAGGACAACCAGCTGGACAGCAGAGAAATACAGTGGAAAACAGCTGAATAGTAGACAGAGAGACAAAGTAAAACAGCAGGACAGCATAGAGAAAGACAAAGGAAAACAGAAGGACAGCAGAGAGAGAGACAAAGGAAAGCATCTGGACACCAACAAAGAGGGACAAAGGAAAACAGCTGGACAGCAGGGAGAGAGTCAAAGGAAAACAGCTGGACAGCAGAGAGAGACAAACAAAAACAGTTGGACAGCAGAGAGAGAGACAAAGGAAAGCATCTGGACACCAACAAAGAGGGACAAAGGAAAACAGCTGGACAGCAGAGAGAGAGAAAAAGGAAAAACAGCTGGACAGCAGAGAGATAGACAAAGTAAAACAGCTGGACAGCAGAGAGAATGACAAAGGAAAACTGCTTGATAGCAGAGAGAGAGAGACAAAGAAAATTAGCTGGACAGCAGAGAGAGACAAAAGAAAACAGCTGGATAGCAGGGAGAAAGACAAAGGAAAACAGCTGGACAGCAGAGAGAGATACAATGGAATACAGCTGGACACCAAAAAAGGACAAAGGAAAACAGCTGGACAGCAGGGAGAGAGACAAAGGAAAACAGCTGGACAGCAGAGAGAGACCAATCAAAACAGCTGGACAGAAGAGAGGGAGACAAAAGAAAACAGCTGGACAGCAGAGAGAGAGAGAGACAAAGGAAAACTGCTGGATAGCAGAGAGAGAGACAAAGGAAAACTGCTGGATAGCAGAGAGAGAGACAAAGGAAAACTGCTAGACAGCAGAGAGAGACAAAAGAAAACAGCTGGACAGCAGAGAGAGACCAATCAAAACAGCTGGACAGAAGAGAGAGAGAGACAAAGGAAAACAGCTGGACAACAGAGAGAGAGACAAAGTAAAACAGCTGGACAGAAGAGAGAATGAGACAAAGGAAAACAGCTTGATAGCAGAGAGAGACAAAGGAAAAACTCTGGATAGCAGAGAGAGAGACAGAAAATTAGCTGGACAGCAGAGAGAGACAAAAGAAAACAGCTGGACTGCAGAGCGAGACAACGGAAAACAGCTTGACAGCAGAGAGAGAGAAAGGAAAACAAATGGACAGCTGAGAGAGGTACAAATGGAAACATATGGACAGCAGAGAGAGACGAACGAAAACAGCTGGACAGCAGAGAGAGACAAAGGAAAACAGCTGGACAGCATAGAGAGAGACAAAGGAAAACAGCTGGATAGCAGGGAGAAAGACCAAGGAAAACAGCTGGACAGCAGAGAGAGAGACAATGGAATACAGCTGGACACCAAAAAAGAAGGACAAAGGAAAACAGCTGGACAGCAGGGAGAGAGACAAAGGAAAACAGCTGGACAGCAGAGAGAGACCAATCAAAACAACTGGACAGAAGAGAGGGAGACAAAAGAAAACAGATGGACAGCAGAGAGAGACACAAAGTAAAACAGCTGGACAACAGAGAGAGAGAGACAAAGGAAAACTGCTGGATAGCAGAGAGAGAGACAAAGGAAAACTGCTAGACAGCAGAGAGAGACAAACGAAAACAGTTGGACAGAAGAGAGAGAGAGACAAAAGAGAACAGCTGGACAGCAGAGAGATAGACAAAGTAAAACAGCTGGACAGCAGAGAGAATGAGACAAAGGAAAACAGCTGGACAGCAGAGAGAGAGACAAAGGAAAACAACTGGACAGCTTAGAGAGACAAAGGAACACAGATGGACAGTATAGAGAGACAAACGAAAAAAAGTTGGACAGAAGAGAGAGAGACAAGAGAACAGCTGGACAGCAGAGAGATAGAAAAAGTAAAACAGCTGGACAGCAGAGAGAGAGACAAAGGAAAACAGCTGGACATCAGAGAGCGAGACAAATGAAAACAGCTGGAATGTAGAGAGAAGGGCACAAAAGAAAACGCTGGACATCAGAGAGAGAGACAAAGGAAAACAGCTGTACAACAGAGAGAGAGAGAGACAAAGGACAACCAGCTGGACAGCAGAGAAAGACAATGGAAAACAGCTGAATAGTAGACAGAGAGACAAAGTAAAACAGCAGGACAGCATAGAGAAAGACAAAGGAAAACAGAAGGACAGCAGAGAGAGAGACAAAGGAAAGCATCTGGACACCAACAAAGAGGGACAAAGGAAAACAGCTGGACAGCAGGGAGAGAGACAAAGGAAAACAGCTGGACAGCAGAGAGAGACAAACGAAAACAGTTGGACAGAAGAGAGAGAGACAAAAGAGAACAGCTGGACAGCAGAGAGATAGACAAAGTAAAACAGCTGGACAGCAGAGAGAATGAGACAAAGGAAAACTGCTTGATAGCAGAGAG